CGGCCATAGCGATACCAGGTCAGCTGTAAGAATAGGATACAGAAGATTCTGGAAGGTTTAGTACAAGGTCAAAGGTTTCCCATGTGAGTGAACCACTTTAAAGACTTAGTGACCATGACATATTTGAATCGGTATCGACTGAGACATCTTGGTAGATGTAGGTAAATGGGTGGATACGGGAACAGAGTGGTTAAATAGGGAATTTACAAGTAGGTTTCAGGTATGGCAGCTAGTATAGAACCTTCGGATGGACTACTTAAATTAGACAATGACTAAAGTTGTACAAGTGGCTAGTTGTACATTCTTTTCATGATTACTCCCTGTAGTTGTAATACAACCATTAGCTGAATGTACAATCAATAAAATCCTGGATCACAAGTACTTACCTTAATATTTAAAAAAAAAAAAAATCTTTTAGAACCTTACAGTTTAATGATGTATTTTGAAATATGTAATAGCTTAACAGATGTATAAAAAAAAGTTCAAATGTTAGATTAGATAACACTTAGATGTATAAAAACTAGTATACTATCTGTTAGATATAATATAAAAATCAGAATGTTTAATTAAATAATCTTCTAACAAATTACAAATACAATAACTAGTATAAAACCTATAAGTAAACTACTTAAATAGATAATCAAAAATTGCATGTATAACTAGTTGTACACTCACCTTGTACAAGTTATGTAACTATAATTAAAAATATAATCAAAGCAGTAACTGCTATTAACAATAACCTTAGCAAAAAAAAAAAAAAATAGTATGTTGAATGCCTATATAGTAATATACTAATACAAATATAATGTGAAACTCTGATATTAATCTGATATTAATTGAATAAAGTAATTATAATTTGACATAAAAAAAAAAAATACAGGCTTGCGGCATTTATTTTAGACTAACTATAAATTTTAATTAAATTACGAAATATCTATCATATGATTACCATTTACAATTTTGATTAGCTAAACTAATATGCAAGATCGGGATCATCATTTCCTAATTTGGGACGGTCCTCCTCGACTGTTGAAAATACCCCGGAGGTGGAACTATACGGTAATTTGATTGGTTAATTATCACGGGTAATCACACAACTCTGACCAATTAAACTAAACTTCTATCATCATAATCGGTTATTATTACATTTTTAGATTTTTATTGTCTAATCTTATTTGTAAGGGAAAGTTTTCTAAAGATTTAAATTTGAAATATTAAACCGAAAACAACAAATTCTTTTGAAGTGTTTTACTTCATGGATTTTGGTCCCGGAAGTTATTAGACATATATTAATATTTTTGTGGAATCATAGTGCACCGAAAAGACTTAATTTTACTTTCTCGATGCCTCCAATTTGACCACTACATTTGATGTCAAATAAAATATTGTAAATTTACGAGCACAAATTATTAATTGTCATTAGTTGATTTGTTGAAATATTTGTTAGTCCAAAGGCAATTGTGTAATCATGTGTTTTACTCTTTCTAAAATTATTTCGTTATCACATTCAACAGAAGATACTACATATGGTGGTGCAATATGAGCACGACCCATGATATGAATAACTGGGTCATTTTCGTTGTGAGTCACCGGAATTCGTTGCTTTCGAATATGAGATGAGTCAAAAAAAGTTTCATATTAGGTGATATTATCATTTGTCTTATTGAGCCACAAAATAAAATCAACTGTACCAACGCAAATAACGAGATCAAGTTTTCTCTTCTTTGTCGCATTTTGTCTGAATCTATAACATAATCTTCTGCATGTTCATTGATTACGGAATCCAGTAAGTTTCTGGGTATTGTTTCTTTATCGTTGTTTACTTGATCAAAATAATAAAGTATTAGGGTGTTAATCTTTAAGCGTGTACTGTTTTCTAAATATCGAAACTCTATTACCTGTGAATTTTGATATGTCAAAGTCTTTAACGATCAATATCTTGTATTTTGACGGAAGTTTATCTGTTATATGAAGATCTCCAACCTGTGATCGAACAATCGTTTGATTAAAACACTAATGCTAATTATTAATGGCTTTTTTAAGGGCTTTACCTGTAATAAAATTACCGTAAAAGTCACGGGATCTATATTATACAAATGTCCTTCAAACGTTTCACCATTTTTTAATTCTATTAGAACCGACTTTCCTAATGTTTCTTCAATTTGTGCAAAAGTCAAATCAGTGTACGGTGGTAGATTTACTGAATCCATTTTTGACATTTTTGGGAGGGAAAGAGATAAATTCACTGATTTATTGAAAATTTCGGTACAATGACAATTATTAATAGCACAATATCACATGATCATGTCTTTGTAACTTTGGAATCTTAGATGAGAGGAAAAATAGAGTTTTATTATCACTTTTAAACAAGTCTGGTTAAATTTTATACAAAATCAATCTTGTCCTCACATATATCGTGTTTAATAAATGGATCTAACAACAGAAAGCTTGTGTCTAACTTCTGTCGTTACGAATTCCATAGCTTCTAATTTTAAAAGATCCTTAACTGCATATTTTAAAGAAGCCTCATATGCATATGTGATTATAGTATCAGTGATGCACATGAAATGCCTGCTCAAAGCATTAATACAATTACAAACACGTGCAATTGTTTCTCTAGTTGATTTGTCAACCGGCTACAAGGATGAAAAATTCTTGATCAATACGGATAGGATTAAATAAATTATATAATAAAAAGTTCGAAAAAAATCACCTCATTATCGTTTGAATAAATGGCTTCAGGATCCAATTCATCCAAATTCTTTGATGAATGTTTACTAATCCATATATATCCATTTAGTCCTAAGGTCACATCAACACCACATGATAATGTATGGAAGTGTGTTTTACACCTTTGAACTAACGCGGGTGGAACAACTATGAGTGATCCATTACGTAACTAGACATGAAAGACTAAATCTTTTTACTAATCTATGATTGAAAACATTGGTTCTATTGTGATATTTTAAATACCTTTCCATATTTTAAGTTTCTTGTGTGTAAAGACGTCGAGCCGTCATGGAAAGAACCCTGAAACTCCGCCTTGTTTAAAAGAATTGATATATCAATCATTAATTTTCTTGATAGTAATCTTGTCAACAACAGAATTACAGAATTTAATAATACCGCTAGTAGATCACCTTCAGCAAAAAATTTTCTCATTTGAAGTTCATCGGCTTCAGTTTTACGTCTCTGAAATTACATAAAAATTAATTATTTAAGGATATATAAAAATTAAACACGGGAACGCGTACTGTGAAATATCATCACCTGAACGCCTCCAGGAAGATTAATCGCAGATAATAATAGCACTGCATCTTGTCGTGAATTTATGTCAACTTTCCATCGTTTATTAGTAACCTACCACATTAAAAATGTTTAAATGTTTTCGTAAATGCCAGATGATATCTTTTTACATTCTTACTTCTGTAATGCGTCCAATTACTAGATCCCCAATATTTCCAGTATACCTATGTAAGCACATTCGATTAAACAAATATAACTTTTGAACATTTATTTTTGATTAAAAAAAAAGAAAGAATTGGAATGGCTCCTCTACCTCGCGTGCAAAGGCCTAACTGTAATCAATTTGTTAACACGTTCCACCACACCTGCTACTGACGATATATGGGATTCTTCTTCATTAAGATACGTGCCATGACCTCTAATGAAAATATTTGGAATAGATTTAGATATATAATTATAAAAGAAATGGACTTGCATTAAGATATCAACCTCATGTACTGTGTATCTGCTGTGATTACTTGTCCAGGTGTTACTACTTTTGATTCAAAGCTATCTCTTTGCGTTTTAATAAACATATCAACATCGCCATCCTGATCTTTTTGATCGCTTTTACTGGCACTAAATGCTGGCTTTGGAAAAAGAAAATGAATGCTCATCATTGATCACTACAATAATATCGAGAAATACGCGGTCAAAATATTAGAGGGGACTACATGTGTGAAGATCAATCCCTAATTAGGGGCCTGGCACCTCACGAAATCACCCGAAGCACGGTAAATCACGTAACACGGGCTATCTCGGCTTTGTGAAAAACGATGTAAATTATCATTATGGTTTTATACAATGTTGGTCAAATTAGTGATCGACTATAAACCAAATTAATAAATCAGACCAATCAATTATAGTTAAATTGGCCTAATTGGTTAATTTGTTCTTATAATTAGATCATTTAACCAACTTAATCAATATTAAAGATGCTTGATCAGACTGGTTATTGTTCAAACTGGTCTGATCAAATAGTCAAATTGGTTTGGTCAGCCCAACACTGGTTTTATACTATTTTTTAAAGTTTTTTTTATTATCAGTTTCAGTAATTGTAGTAATAATTTTAAAAACATTAGTTTTAGAAATAATAGTTTTTTTTTTTTTTTTTTTTTTTTTTTTTTTTAAATGACCTTTTTGGTCTTTTGACTTTTATTAATTACTTATTAGTACAGTCTAACCTCTCTAAGTGCACGCTCTTAGAATCAGGTACACACGTGCATTTAGGGAGGGTGTGCATTTAGAG